AACTTCATTCCATCCTTTACAATGAAAATCCCATTAGATGATTCCACTAATTGTCTCTACCCTTTAGTTTTCCATCTATTTTCCACTATATGTATACTTGAACTGACTATTCACAAACTTCATATTACCTAAATTGAATGATCAGTATTTTTATAGGTCTATGTTTTCTAGTTCTGGCCTACCTATAATGTTGTTGTATTTCTTCATGTTATCATAATGTTTAGGTACTTACTTACTGACGCCTGTTACTCGCAATGAAGCATAGGCCGCTGACCAGAATTCTCCAACCCACTCTGTCCTGGGCCATCATAATGTTTGTTCTTCCAATATTTATTAGCAAACCTATAATCACACTATTAATGTGTAAACTTTATTATGATTAGTTATGTAGTCCGTTTCATTGTTATCGCTAACTTATAAATTATATTCGTCGCTTCGATATTTTTCATTATTCAATCAGTCAGCTACAACGTAGGACCTGGCACATATATGTATCGGTCCAAGTTGCCCTACCGCATTAGCACTACAAAATCAACACCAAATTCATAGAGATAGTTACTTCAATCGTAGTAATATGTAAAGGAAAGATTGTGTATAAGGAGATAGTACAGGAAGAAAGAATTAGTTCGTAGAAAGAAAGATTTGAAGTGATTTTATTCTCTTAGTTTAAAGGAAGACAGAGAGTGTATACACCGACGCCATTGTGATCGATTCTGAGCCATATCACACAGTCTCCAACCATTGGTTATGATAGTCACGTGGACCCCAACCAAATAGTCTGCATCTACCAACATGGCTCAAACCAGAAGTTAGTGACTTCAAGCAGTGATGCCACGTCTTGGTTTGGCTACCCCTAACTTTCTCCCAATTATCCCTAACACCGGTTAGCATTGCGCGTCGTGGTAATCGATGTTCAGTCATACGTAACACGTGGCCCAACCATCTCAGTCGATGAAGATTCATAACCTCATCAACTGGTTTACCATCATTCCCTAATACCCTGCGTCTAATATCGCTATTACTCATCCGGTGATCCCAACAGATACGAGCAATATTTCTAAGGCATCTGTGGTCACATACTAGTAGCTTACGAATATCTACTGTTAATGGCCACGTTTCGCAGCCGTAAAGTAGAACAGAACGAACTGTGCATTTGTACATACAAATACTACTGTGTTAGAATAAAACCTGACGAAGATCCAAGTAGGTAAATTGTTCTTTGCTTAGAAATTTTATTCTAAAATCGAACAAAATCTGTAGTTACGAAAGAGTTGATGTCTGGAAAGCTATTGAAGACATTCGCAAATGAAAGGTTAGGGGATTTATTCATGATCTTTGTTGAGGGAGCAAGATTATCCTTTTGATACATTTTTTAAATAACACACAGTCAAACCTGAGGATGCTCGGTGTTCAAAGAGATCTCTCTAAATTCTTAGATATGATAAGAATAGATGGTCGTTATGTACAATCAAAACGAGGTTACATCCGTTTTCTTGCCCATGTAAGACTAATATTGTTTGCAGTAAAAACCAAGCTCTCTCGATATTTGTCTAGGATCATTTTTCCTCAGATACGTCGTGGACTGTGATCAGTAGCTATTACTATGTGTATCTTTCGAAATTGTTTGTAAAGTTAACCAAATGAGTTTAAACGGGGTGCCAATCGAAAAACTATGTGCACCAGATGCATTGATAATTCATCGATCGAATGTCCAAAAGTAACATGTTAAGTCATTCATTTAATGACGGTTTGCACCTCTCCTTACTTCTCTTACCTCAGAATTCTGTATTATTGTCTGTTTTTTATATTTCTCTATATTCATCAAATGGACAAATAGTTTTATGTTACTAATCTATAGGCTATTCCCATTATACATTTTCTTAAATTACTATTACAACTATTACACAATATCTTTTCCGAAAATTTAAATCTGAAACATTTTGTCCATAACTCAACATCTATCAAATTTGTTTTAGGTTAGGGTGTACTGAACAATCAAAAAAAAATAAATGATTTATTTAGGGATGAGATCTCTAAGTCGTCTATACAATTCCTAAGTGACATAATGGCTTTCACTTATAGTTTTAGCAAACAATAATTGGTTAGCAAAAATGTAAACCTGTAAGTAATATACATGGAATAATGACATTTCTATTCTGTTGTAGTGTCTGGTACCACATGTTATGTACAAAAATAAACCGTTTAACTCCGTATTTTACTTAGGCCAAGCCCGTCTGTGTGACATCGGTAATACGAAGCCAAATATGGGTTGCGTTGGAGGAATTTATTTCAAACAATCATTTTTCCATCCCAGGACAAAGCCGGGTGAAGAATGCTGGTGGGCACCCTATGCTCCTCCACAAGGAGTAACAGGCGTAGGTAAGTAAGTAATTTGTTTTTCCAGACAGATATTGAGAACGAGAAGCGGAGAGGAGAAGAAGAAGGTAAGTGAGTCAACTCCTTTTGATTAGGCGTGATTCAATATTTATAGCCAGACAAAAATAAGCTATAGACACCTATTGAACAGGGTAAGCACCTAATACTCATAAGGTCATATAAAAACAATCAAGATTAATAAGCAAATAATTGACAAGGTCAAAATGTCACTCAAGAAAGATAAATGAATTGGTCTGTCCGAAAGCTAGAATAAACCATTTGGACTCTCTCGTTGAGTGCCATAGGTCCTTAAATTTGCCTTAGCAAAATCAATTCTAGTCAATATTAATATTGAACACGGTGGACAAACTATTACGTAAGTGTTTATTGAATTTAAAGTTACAATTTTGACGAGACTCTTGAGAGGAAAAGAGGTTTAATTTTATTTTTACTGTCGGAATTTAAAATTTATGTACCCTTACATGTTAAAGTGTAAATCAATAAAATGTTCTGGTCTATTTTACCCAAGATTACTGGAATACATATCATGCATGTCAATATAACAAAATGTTCGATTTTTGATGAGGACACACATAAACATAATTTACAAATTAAAACTTTTTGCCAGAAATTGGCATGTTGGTATTTTGATTGGTTAAGAAAAAGTGTACGAAGATAATGGTGTGCATTAGTCTAGCGATAAAAATTAGGTCGATTTAAGGTAAATTACGTCAATATGACTGAAATCTGTAGCGAACGTATATGAAGGCTAATAACAAAATAAAATAAAAACATGGTAAGCAGAAAATATTTTTAATAAAATGGATGATAATGGCTAAATAATGGGGTTCAGAACTAGTCCGCGGTGAAAAGTTTCAACATCTTATGTGTTGGTCTCCAAACGAGTCTCAGACTCAATAAAATTAAACGTATTTCCTACCTATATAAGAAGCTATAATAAATGTTTTATTTTACAGTAATGAGTTGTAATTATAATGCATGTGTTTTAACTCAATTTGAAATGGATTGGATTATCCCATTGTTAGCATTTTTGACTGAAATTCTATCGGTTGTAGTCAGTATATGTGGGTATTGTGAGAATAGCTTCCATGTAGCGATTATGGCATAATTTCGTATATAATAGATAGAATATGGCTAACAGTGGATTTCGGGACCCCCGTTTATTTTATTTAAGGACTCGTTAATAACACGATAGCATTTCAAGTGGACGGTACTGAGTTCGAGTCCCGAAGTGAACATCAACTCTGAGATGCAGATAAATCCAGCTGATGAGTCCCAAATAGGACAGAACGAGCGTCCTGGATTCCGCTGCTAACCACATTTTATCTATTCTGTACATATTGTATGTGGTTGGGTTATTTAGAAAATTATATTTTTTTATTTATGCCCCCCTCCCTACTGAGTTGCTGAGACATTCTTGTCTGTAACCAGCTAGATCATAGGGCCAACAAATTGTTTATATATATGCTAAAATTTGACTTCAGTTGTAATTCTGATTACGAGATTAGGATGAAGAAAATTCATAATAAATAAGAAAAACAAGTGAATATTCTTTTTGATTGTAAATACTGAAAAATTATCAATTTCTCAAATTTCTTCAAAGTCATCATTCAGTTTGTAAAGACTTCACTTTATATGACCCATATCAACAATAATCTCATGTTAATTTTATGCAGTTATATATATATAATTTAGATGTATTCCGATCTGTAAAGTAAATAAATGTAATCTATTGCATTGAAATGTGGATCATATATCAATATTTATTATATTAACCCTTAAAAAAATACGGAATTATTTTAAAATCTTCTATCCTGTTATAACTAAAAGTTTAAATAGGGTAAACATTTAAAATTCAAAAAATGGCTCACAAGATTACATTCAGTTACATAAAATGTCAGATTATATTTTTAAATTTTTTTTTCTGAAGTTGATAATTTACAAAAAAAAGTATATTTATTATGATTATTTAAAAACTGACAACTAACAACATTAGCTAGCTAGTAGTTGTCAAGGTTTAATGTTATTGCTTTAAAAACTTGTGACTTAAGGCTATAACGAGGCAATACACACCGGATGCACAAACGCCAACAAGAGACTAATCAATTGCAAACCTAATCATCAATGGGAAGATTCAAGTAAACAATAACAAGTGAATTTAAACTTCACCCCATTTCATAAGCAGGTGGCTATCAATACTCATTAGCTAATTGGTTAACACAATGGCGTTTGAAGCGAACAGTACTGGGTTCGAGTCCTATAGTGAATATCAACTCTGAGATGCATGTACATATAGCTGACGAGTCCTAAATAGATCGGAACGCGCGTCCCGTATTCTACTGCTAGCCATTATACATCTTTGCTTAAAAATCATTGTAAACAATTTAAAGTTAGTTTCCTTTTTCTTAAAAAAATAGTCTTTGTTTTGTCTGTTTTATACATTGAATAAGATAAATAGCTTATTTTAAACCTTAATAATCTTTAGATAAAAAGAATAATTAAACTGTAAAATATCTTTTAGGATTTTGAAAATGAAATATTTATCATTGCACATTATTTTTTTGTTTGTTTGCTTAAATTTTTGTACTTTAAACTTGACTAACCTCTTTTCCTGCGTAAAACATCCAAACTAGTTTTCAAAGGAAAATTCTGTAAATAGAAATAGTGTAAAACAAAAAAGAAATTTCTCTGTTAATTCTATTGGAATTTATAATCAATAAATGTTGCATTTTTAAATGATAGGTCTTCAAGTATAAAAACTAAAAAAAATTTACCTGTATTTGCTACATTTATATTTACTCATGATTTCAACTATTGAAATTATTATAATATCCACAAAACCCCTTCTGATAATAAAAATTTAAATATCAGAATGGGGAGTTTGTAGAGTTTATAGTAATTTTGATAGTTGGATTTATGAGTTGATATAAGCTACATTACTATTGAAAAGCTAGAAGCATTGGAAGGTCTTATTGTCCTAGTATAGAACTTCTCAGCAGTGCGTATCCATATTTTGTTTCTTGCTGTTAACTTAAGACAATAGCAAATTCAATATACCAAAATTAATGATAATAAGAATTGACAAAATGCAACTATCAGGAAATATTAAATTTTACTATTAACATCATTCTAGTTTTATTGTCAATATGCGATTTGGTATTTTCGAATATGCGATTGTTCACACGTTAATGTGTTTATCATTAGCACCAGACACCAAATTTTCGCAATAAAGTGAGCATACAAAGAAGATAGAAAATATTCGACTCAAATGCGCTTGAGAGTATAACTCTCACTGGAGATTTCCTTTCAACCATCTAAAGCTATCTATATCAGTCTTCTATGAACACGCTTGTGTAGCGAATCCTGACATGCTAAAAGATAAAAACTAGTAAAGTCTGGAGCTTGAAATGAAATTCGCAGTCAAAATCACACCGTTATATACAACAGTTGTTCATTAAATAAACAGAAAAGTGACTGAAAATGCTGGATATTGCACACTCATTAAACACTAAAAAATGGGGTCCACCTCATATATAATAAAGTAATTATCATAACTAGTACTTTCTTCTGTTGTCAATCCGTAATGTGGTTTATTGTATTTTTCTCAAGATACCACTCATCATTTATCTGAAGGCAATTTGAATATATTTTCAACTTATTTCAAAATTCAACGAATAGCGTTTGCATAATTACAGATTTATTTCGATAAAAAATATTTAAAAATTACCTTCTTCGGATTTTTCAATCGTGAAGTCGTAAATTCCAAACTACTAACTGGTTGTTCACGAGGTAGTTTAGAAGGTTTTGGATGTATATAAAGGTCATCTGAACTTTTCCCTGTTATGTTACCGGTAGAGACAAAACGTTCTTTTCGTCCAATAGGAGATTTTGACCACCAAAATTTATCGCTTTGATGGGATAGTGAAAATGCTGGAGGTGTAATTGACATTCCATTTGCCCCACCCCGATGATTTTTAGATACTAGTCGTCGAAGACTACCAGTACCAGATGAGATAAATCGTGGGGATACTTGATCTGAGTGAGGACCAGAAAGGTTAGTATACACAGCCAAAGGTCGTAGGATTGAAGCAGCTTGACTTGAACCTCCAGTTATTGTATATGCATGAGGTGGTAAGACGTCCATTTCTGGGTCTAATGGTTCACTTAGGCGATCAGAAAATCTCACTTTATGACTCTCAGCTTGCAAAGGAGTTTGATTTTCAGATTTCGTTCTGGAACGTCCCCCAACAAAAGTCTCCACCCAAAACTGTCTAAAACGTGAATGTACGGTTTGTACGGTTTTCGGCTCGGAACTCTGCTGTCCATATGCATTAGGACTTACTGGTCCTTCTAATGATATGACTACGGGGGGTTCAAAACTTGGTGTTGCATTTCCACTTACAAATAAGGGAGAATGGCTTGGTCGATGAACAGTTGAATGAACGCTACATTGTCCACTTGCTCCGGAATTCAATGCTGAGGATATATCTCCACGGTTACTAGACGTTTTATCCTTTGAATCAACCGCTGTATGAGGATGAGTTTTACGACTTGCTGTAGCTGTCGTATTAAGTCCTAGGTTGGCTAGACCAGATCCGCGACCCCACATAGCCTATTAAAACAGGATAAAATTAAATCTGTCATTTATTTAAATTGCTGGTTTTTAGTAAAAAATAACGGACCTAGTGTTTCTTACTAGTTCTCTGAAAGTTAAACAAATTAGATATCATTGCATACTAACACTTTCAAGTTTACATCAAGATCTTCATTAAGTAAAGCATCTACAATCCCAACTAAACTCAAAAGTGTAAGTCTTTCGAAGAAAGTATAATTTTAATGGCTTTAGTAATTTAATCGTTTTGTTTCAATTATGATAACCTTCAACAATTGTTAAACATCCATTTCTTATCCTAACTTAAGGTTACTATTGCTTTTTTCTGTAAAGTGTTTGTACTGGTTTTTTCATAATTAACTATTAAGATTTATTTGATAGAAACAGTTAGAGAATTGGGATAAATGGCAACGGAGCCTACTTGTTACAACTTATTTTAGTAAATCAACTAAGAGATGAGAGTGAACATAGATAAAATAAAATCAATGAATTATAATAAGCTTACCAATAATGTAACAAAAATAGCAGTAAAAAGAAATAAAGGGATAAAACTGAAATAATTTTAAAGAGCATTGGTAACACAGCCGCACCTTTCGTCCCATTTGGAACCTGCATCTCAGAGTTGATATTCACACTTGGACTGGAACCCGGTACCGTTCATATCGAACGTCATTACCTTAACTACTGAGTCCACTAGCCTGTACAATGGAGTGAAGTTCCATTGACTTTTTTATTGGTTTCATGACACTTCCGATTGATGTTTAGGACTGCAACTGATCGTCCTAAATATCAATGGGAAGTTTCAAGCAATCAATACCCCAAAAGAAATGTATATTTTTAAAGTAGAGTAAATAGAATTGTTTTTAAAAAAATAAAAACTTAGTAAAATGAAGTGACTAACTATGTAGTTAGCGTAAAATTGGTAAACATTTGACCAAATAGCATGAATCAGTCATTTATGTAAGGTGTAGGAAAATACCAGTTAATCAGTGGTTTCATTCACTAAGTTGATTTTAATCATAAAGCTCTCATTGTCCTTCTAGATGGCATCATCAGTACAATCCTAAAGACAGAATTAAGCTAACCGAATTTCTCAACATATAACTGACAGTTTGTTCTGTCGACCTTGGTCATGATTGATTGTTGTTGACCCTTTTTTCCAGTTATTGTTTGACAATTTATTAAAATTGTTATCCTCTTTGACTTGATTTTTCCCCTAATGTTTGTGTTATATACCGAGGATGATTATGAATGGTAACTTTTGAGAACTATTTATGGACCAATAGGATATATATATTATTACTGTATAATTGTTAAGTAGCTAAAATATGCATTTTCATGTTCCTCTTGTTATAACCTTTATTTTGATCCATAAACTACTATTATGCGATTTACCGCTCTTGAGTTATGTCCAGTCTATTAATTAGTTTACCACATTCACAGCCACTTTTGGTTAGATTTTGTACAAATGTTATTTCCCATTTTGTGGTGCGATATGGTCTTTTTGGTGTGAATATAAACCCAGTATGTTTGAAATACATGATTCTTATCGTGGAGGCTGAGATTGGTGTTCTGGGATGAACAGGCAAGGTTAAGCAGGGAGAAGGTCCGATAAGGACTCTAGAGATGCGTCATTGGACTGGTCGATAAATCACTGTTCTCTACTTGGCGGTATCTTTACGTTAGACATAAATAGAGCACAAAGCTCACAAGTTATAAGTTTTTCTATGACTTTCTTTATCGGTTGACAAAATGGATCGATTACAATATGTCTGCTGACTGCCTATTAACGTGAAAACTGAGCTTCCGAAAATTCTTTGGATCTTTTGTAATTCTTCTGTCCAAGTTTTCGACATTTTCCTAGTCTAACTTGCGTCCGAAATTGTCGACTTCCATTGATAAAAGGGAGGATACATCATGGCATTTGAAAGCCAATCGATGATCATGGAGACCAGAATTAAATAACCATTTACTTTATCTGATATAAAAGCTGTGGACTGAGGTCAATAAGTAGTCAACAAACATATCGAAATGGATTTTTGTCAACCGATTAAGAAAATCATGGACAAACATTAGGAGAAAAATCAAGTCAAAGAGGATAACAATTTTAATAAATTGTCAAACAATAACTGGAAAAAAGGGTCAACAACAATCAATCATGACCAAGGTCGACAGAACAAACTGTCAGTTATATGTTGAGAAATTCGGTTAGCTTAATTCTGTCTTTAGGATTGTACTGATGATGCCATCTAGAAGGACAATGAGAGCTTTATGCTTAAAATCAACTTACTTAGTGAATGAAACACAATAGAAATCTTCAACTTGAATTACAAATTTTTTCCTGTTTCTGTATCAAGTTGTAAACTTAACGTAGATGAAAAACAACTTCCATATAAAAACTTTAAATTTTCTATATAGTTAAACTGCCACTAAATATGAATTAAAATAATTCATACTTAATTATTCTACTCTTGAATCGTGATCATCATTCATCTATTAGCTATTTCAACGTAAGATTGAGACGAACTAATTAGATTTAGGATAACAAGTCTAGGATTTTGGCGCGAAATTCACTTACCCATTTGGCCAAATAGTGTCTTGGCATTTTAGCTGATGTCAATTCGTGATAAAAAACCTTAAATCTAATTCCTAACCCTAACCATTAAGTGTGAATCATAATGCTTATTCTTCAAACTGCCTTATAATCTTCATTTAACCCTAGTAAGTAGGTAGACACTCTCAAGGTCACTTTGGAGACGTTCAAAGATCGTCCATAAATTATAGTTTCACCAAAGTTTATTTTCGATTTCTGTAAAGATTTTTTTTAACTGACATAAATATTACAATATTTAGTCAGCATTCGTTTTAAACTTACATTTTTAAATATAAAGTTAGATAGTTGTATATAATTTTTGAGGAATAGTTAATGACTACTGTACATAGAAAGTAATCTATTAATTAAAAACATGGACATATTTTAAAAGTTCAGCAATTGTAAATTACATTGTGGATATTTAACATGCACATATATATCAATAAGAAATCTAGAATGATGTTGATTTAACAGTACAAGTAACACATTTGTAATATATATCGTTTCTATTATTAGTAATCTATTGAATGCTTAATGTATTCAACGTTGACACTGACAACGTTGAATTATTTCAAAAGGTTGAATTTAAGAGCATCTGAGGGAGAAAAAAAATAGACAAATGTAGAACAGTAGGATGTTCGAGTAGCTCCATCTCATCCATTGTTATGCTACTAAATAATTAATTACTCATTGACTAATGTGAGTCTTAATTAGAAAACTTCCATTTTGTTAAAGGAAAATTCAACAGTCAACTAAAATAAATACATCAACTATATCTTAAAATATGATTCAAAATAATCTCCGATAGACAGTAGTCCATTTCATGCGAAGTAATTACGATCATTCTAAATCATCTCTACACCAAACAATTAAACTGAAACACTACATTATGAATTGTAGATTACATGGAATATGCAAAACAATCAAGGTATTTATTCGTTACTGAAAAGTTATATCTACATTCAATGTCACTGTGAATTAACCAATGAAAATTATCCTATCTGGAAAGTGTAAACTATATAATTAATTTCAATAATTGAAATCATGAGTCAGTTAAAGTCAGAACACCATGGAAAACCTGGAAGCACTGGTAGCACTGGATGGCCGTTTCGTCCTAGCATGGGACTCCTCAGCAGTGCGCATCCACGATTCCACCCTTCCGCGAGATTCCAACCCAGGACCTATCAGTCTCGCGCTCGAGCGCCTAACCACTGAGCCGGCATCCATCGGTGTTAATATGTAACTTCAACCAATCCACGAAATTGCTCTACCGTACACCATTGTCTTCAATGAGCTGATATCTCACAACAGACACGGTTAAACTCCACTGGTAACGGCTTCTCACTAGAACTTTAGGAAATGCCTCTTGAAGTCAGTCACTAGTGAGCAGATGATTATTATCAGAAGGGGTTTTGTGGTGATTTTAGAAATTTCAATAGTTGAAATCATGAGTCGATTGAAGCTAGACCACCATGAAAAACCTGGATTAATGAAAATTTATGTTTTTATCAAGATTAGAATGACTGACTTTATTTGGTCATTGTTTATGCATTATATTATTATTAGGTTTTTCAAGATTTACTTTCAGTATATTGATCACGTGTTCTAAGTACTAAAGTATAATGCATACAACTGACAAGAAATGCAACCAATAAAATTCATTTAATAACATTTTACTTATAAAATAAAATAGTGAACTATCTAGTTACCAATACGTTTGTTTAATCACTTTGATTGATGAATGGATAGTAACTTGTTACTACTTAGTGTCAATATGATTCTTTAAAAAATAATAATAAACGATTTAATTTTGTTTTCTTGTTTTCAATGTCAACCTGTTATATAATTATACATCTGGATTGACCATTCCAAAGAATGGCCACGTTTCATGCAAGTATATTGTTTAAATTTATATGAGTTTTTGGATGACTTAAATAAGTCTATAGATCAATTGAATTATGAGAATAATAATTAGAATAAATAAATACAACACAGAGTGTGAGAAATAATATTGGAATAACAAATCAGATCACATGTTTGACCGAAGACTAAGTAATATACAAAGTATAATTGTAGAGACCAAATAATTTATGAAAAACGATCATCTGCTCTAGTATACTTTATTCCCGAATATTCTATAGAAATTCTTAAATTTCTGATGTCAAGAAAGTTACTTTTGTCCATAAAATTGATACTTTTCAAACATTGTATTGTAGTGTGTGCAACTGAAGTCAACAGATATAAGTAGTGTGCTTCATTAATCGAAAGTGGAATATCTGTCGGTTGAAGGTTCAAAAATTCGAAAAGAAGAGAATGAGAACAGAAAGCTATTGGTAGGAAAACGAAAGAACAACAAAATTTGAGACAGTCAATAGATTTTTTGCAAATGAAGTATTTACTGTATGGT